CCCTTCCTAGCTAACACAAAACTAAACCAATTAATGGATGAAGCTCAAGAAAAACTTGATGAAAAACTCATAAACCAATTGAGCGCCCTTTTTGGCCGAAACTGGAAAAAGCAATCAAGGGAAGGAGAGCAGTTGGAAGGAAATGCAAAGAAATCGCATCAAAAGAGAGCCAGGAAAAACAGGATAATTATTCAAACACTTTCAAAGTCAAACATACACACACACACACACACACAGACAGGCAGCCGTGAAAAGTGTTCCCCTAACGGAAAACGTGGAATTGAAAATGTTTTTGGAAAAACTTTGTCGTTGCAACAGACGGGGAAAACAAAGTAAAGAGGGATGGTTTATGAGAAGAAGGATGATGATGATGGTTGAGTTTCGGTTCTATTCGGGATGTTGCACTCCGCACACACTGGGAAGCGAATCGAAATGAGAGTGGAAAAAGAAAACATATGCGGGACCTCACGACTCAACCATATCCTGTAAATGTCTGGCTCTCTGTATGTGTGTGTGTGTGCATGTGCACATGTGTGTGTGTTTGCCAGACAAAATAACTGAAAAACGGGCGAAGGTTGTTCAACCAACCAACCACCGCAGCAAAAGACCAAAAACAGGATAGGGAATTTGTTTTGGGGTGGGGGGAATGAAACAACAGCATCTCCCAGAGACAGAGCATCAAAATCAGCCGAGAGCAGCTGTTTCGAAAAAGTGGATGTGGATGTGGCTGTGAATGTGGCTCTGGCTGTGGCATATACAACGGTGGCTTTTTCTGTGAACGGGAATGAGTAGAATCGTAAATAAAACTATGCATGTGCACTGCTTTCGTTTTTGGCCTTTCGCATACACGCAACCATCAGTTTTTTTGGTGGTTGGACGGTTGGACGCGGCCCAAAGGCAAAGGTATAACTACCATGCTGGAACTCTATTCTCCGGCTGAGATTAGCACAGGATTTGCGACCCGATGGAAATCGGATGGGGGGTAATCTGGAGTGGGGAAATGCCAGGCCTTACATAAAGTCTAGGCTTAAAACGCCCTTGAATATTGATTAGATATTGAGTGGAGTGGAAAGTTTCTTAGGAAGAAGACTGACTGTCTTCTTGTCCAGAAAACTTGGCTTGCCCAAAACTATGTAATCTCTAAGTTTGAAGACTTCGCTGATGGTAAGAAACTGGGAAGTAGCCCAATAAATATTTATGAAAGGTTACTACCTAGGATTAACCCCAAAAAAAGCCCTATCTAAGATATCAGAGGGGAGATCATTGCCTTTATCTACAAGATACTATATCCCGAATCTAATAAAACACCCCCAGAATGCATTTAACTAACATTTCACTCCCTAAATTTAATCTATTTAATGTCCTTAAATAACCACAATGTACACACAATCTACCAATAAAACATAAAGGCCATTAAAAGGTTCTAAATTGTTCTTGACCAAATCAGCCTGTTGCCAGGGAACTGGGAACTGAGAACTGAGAACACGGGTAACTGGCCAAAACAAAGCCAAAGCCGGGCACAGAGCCTAAAAATAACAGGAACTGGCCTGGCTAAGCCGAATCAGCTTGGTGAGTTAGTGACTGAGTAAGCCTAGACCAAAGACACCTTGCCAAGAGGCTGACCGGGCCAAGACACTGGGATGCCGCCAGGTTGAGGTCCAGGTCCGCCGCACCGAATAGAGTCGACTCGAGTTGAGCTCAGCTCAGCCGAAACCGAGACCGAGACGAGGCAGGGCAAGGCAAGGCGAGACGAGACGAGTAGAGTCGAGAAGTCCACCGGCCACAACAATTTTCGTGCAGGAAGCGGGTTTCGTCGATGCAGGCAAAAGGTTTTACACTGTCTTTTACCAACCTTCTGTCGGGCGCTGTCCAGTTGTCCATTGGTACGTCGTCGTCGTCGTCGTCTGCCTGCTCACCTCCCAAAACCAGTTGCAGGTAGTTTAAAGTAAAGCCCAAAGATCTTCGCTCATTCGCTCGTCTTTTGGGATACCTTATAGCATATTTCTTATGCGACTGCTGAGCAACCTGAGTCGCCCGCCGTCTGTCCCGTCCATCCCGTACATACATACCTACAGTTCGGATACAAATATATACCAATATATATATATATATATATATCTATATAATTCTCAGTCGTTTCTTGACTCTTTCGAGTCGGTTGCATTGGGGAAATTTCGTAGAACTTTGCCTAGGATTAATTGGTTAAATGTTTGTTGTTCTTGTTTCGTTTGCCTCGTTTTTTATTTTCTTTCTGTACAGTGCCATTTCTGGGAAACAAATTATAAATTGAGTAATCTAGCACTAAGCATCGATTTCGGTTTCTATTAGTGTTAAGGTTTCAAGTGTTAAGGATTTGGAGTGAGAGGGCAGAAAAACTTGAAGAAGGGCTTAGGGGAAGTGAAGTTGATTTGGAAAGCACTTTTGAAGTTTCATTCCTAACAAATATTAAACACAAATGTAAACTAAAGATTGCACTCAATGAAATGCATTAACTTTTGTCACACTTTGTCTTCAAACACACCTTGACTTATTGAAAATTTCTCTAAGAAGAAACCTGACCAACTAATGTTGGCCCAAAAACTTTTATAAGCCGATTTCGTTAAAGTTTCTATTTTAACTTGCCAACGTTGCCGAAGTTCAACGAAAAACAAAAACTACTTAACGACTTGGCCCACTCCATCTGCGGGCCACTTCCTTCCGCACCTGAAAAAAAAACCACGCTTCACCTGCTTTTGTGCTTTCCGCCGCCCTCCCCCCTTTATACACAAGCACCACCTTTAACTAAGAACCCGTAAACAAAAATGAAAAAGAAAAAACACATTTACTAGCCTAGCCTAGGCTGACCGACCGGCTGCATCTAACAAGTTCGACATTTGGCACTTGAATTTAACGCTTGATTGCATTCCAGCCTAAGTTTCAGTCTCCCTCCACATTCACTTCCTACTCCGCAGGACAGGATCTGTTAATATATGTAGTCCAACTTCCATAACTTCAACTTCTGAAGTCGCAGCACTGTAGCTATAAGTTAGGTTATACTATTTTTTATGGTTTTCTTGAACTTTGCAAGACTAAAACTTAGATTTATTTTCAATTTAAAGAGATTTATCTTTAACTCCAACTTCTAGTTTTCACGGAAAATTAATATTTTAGCAAGTTAGCAACTGGTAGACCCAACACTGCCGATGATTGCTGTGTAAAGCCAATCCAAACGTCAACGACTTCATTCTGCGGGTTACATTTTCCGTTGGCCAAAGGGAATCGGTTGCTTAAGTCGCTTCAAAGGGAAGTTGGTATCGAGGGATACGAGTGTACTTGAAGAAGCCTCTTCTTGGGCCTCCTCTTCTAGCTAGCTAGCTCCACAGCCACATCTATAGTTTGCCTTTCCACGCTTTGTGTGTGTTTTTCTGTTGGTGGCTCCTCCACTTGTGGCTCGTCTTCGGACTTCCACTTCCTTGTGCCTACTACCAAAACCTATTGGGATACCTCCCCACCCCTTGTGTGCCAGTTTTTCACTGGCTTCCCTAGCGAACGACTTGGCTAAACCACACCCCCATCCCCACTAGCACTCCTCGAATGGAAAACCCGCCCGATAAACTGGCCTCACTTTGCGTTTTGATTATAGCCGGAAATGCCGTTTTACACGTGAATGAAATTTGTAAATGCAGCGTTGCCAAACTTCTGGCTTCACTAAAAATAAATTGATAGGCAGCCGAGTTAAATAATAAATGAAGGGAATTAAACTCATGGCTTCTGGCCAAGCCAAAACGAGAACTATGAAACTGTTTATAGAAAAGTGAGTGTAGCTAAGGAGAAAGGTCTTTTTGTCTAGACTAAAACCAAATTTTGTAAAATTTCCAGCCAGCAAATACAAAAACAAACAAATTTTTAAAGCTAACCCCGTTTAAGCAACAATTAATGTAATATTTTGCACAGAAATGTAAATAAAAAGAGTCAAGGGGATAGAAAAAAAAAAGACACGAGAGAGAGGCCCAGAAAAAGCAGAAGAGATGGGTAAATAGAAAAAGGTACAACGAGTAGAAGAGGGGAAGAACGAAAACATGGAGAGGCCAGGGCTTAGGGTAAGAAATATATTATAGGAAAAATCCACCCTCGGGGGGCCACACAGCGTTGAAAAATGCACAAAGGCACAGAACCATGAAGGACAGCTCAGGACTGAGCACTGAGCACTGAGGTTCTGAATCGAAATGAGTACGAGGATGTTGACGTTGCCTGCTGCAGAAAACATCAACAGCAACGGCAACGGCAACACAATCAAAAGGGTTACAGAATCAAAGGCCTAAACAGAAGGTTGCTGAACCCACGGTGAGGCCGTGACAAAAAAAGCATATAGCAAAAAGGGCAAAGAATCACAGAATGACACCGATTGTGTAAATACCCTTTGGCTGGCAGATTGTTTATAAAACTCATTTTGTATGTTGATAAAATTACAACAAGAAAAAACTTGAAGTATTTATCATTCCTAGCTTGTAATAATGCACTTTGATAATATCAATTTACATTCCAAGGAAAATAATTCAACTTTCACCAGAAAGCTGTTTTCAAATTCTTCTAGAATCAAACTGGTTTTCCTGGCAAACATTTATCTCACCTTTAATCAATTTCAACAGGATTTTGTCCAGTCAAGGCAAAGAAAATAAGATTATTTACTTTTTTTATAGATAAACTGGTTTACCCTACAAGCTTATTATGTTTATTACGATTACAATTTTGAGAGAAATATTATGTATATAAATTGTAAGGATTTTATGTCTTTAGTTATGGAGAACTCCAAAAGTAAGTTTCTGACCAAAGAATGACATATTTTGATCAAATTCCATACAAGATATCACACATTTCTATAACATCCTCATAAAATCTAACCACCAAAACAAACCAAAAAATAACCATGCTCTCTGAATCTACCACTTTATAGAACAAATATCATAGCAACACCCTCTGCTTATAATCTGGTTTATATATAAATGATAAATTTCACTTACCAGACAACTCCGAATGCTCCATAGCCGATGGGACGATCCGGCTGAACATCCTGTGGAACAGCCGGCGGTTGATAGTAGGGAGCCGCTGCGGCCAAGATTGCGCTGGCGCCCTGTGGCGCACCACCGGCAGCACCACCCTGTACCAGTGACATCGAAACGCTCATTGATGGACTACGCGGCAAGTTTACCAAATAATTCGAGCAGCTGCACCCGGTTCTGGTATTTGTTGACGATGGAGCTCAGTTGTTGTGCTTCTGATGGGCGGCTGGTCGTCTTCGAGCTGATGGTGGTGGCTTGGATTGTGTTTTGGACTGTGGTTCTAATACCCAAAGTGGTGACGGCGGTGGTGGTGGTGGTGGTGTTGGCGGTAGTGGCTAAGGTGGCGGCGGTGGTGGTGGTGTTGTTGTTGTTATTGGTAGTGGTGCTTGATTTGATGTGGGAGAAATGGTGTTGATTGCTCAATGGATGCCGCTGGGGGCCACTGATGGCCGCCATTCAATTGTTGGCCATTTGTTGCTGTTTGGCGTGCTTCTATTCAACGCAATTCTTTTCCCTGCGTCTCGTTCACGTTGCTTATTACACTTTTTACTTATTTAAATGAGATTTGAGGACATTGTGGAGAACTGCGGAGTCGAGAAGGGAAACAAACATTATTTGTTGAAGTGGTTTTCTTTGTAAGGTGGACAAATATATCTTAGATACTACAAATGTTAAGCTTCATTTGTGGAAATGTTATTTTTTATGCATTTTGATGATGATTTGGTGATGCCGCGACACACAATGGCTATTGTTTAAACATTTTATAGAGCTAAAGACATAAGATATGAAAGATCTTCCTTAATCGTCTATTTTGTATAACTTTTTTGTTCTCTCAAGCAATAAGTGCCCCTATGTTTTATCGAACTCTGATCAATATGAAACACTTTTCTAATAACCTTAATTTTTTTTACATTAATTTATTTTTCATAGCTACAATTTGTTAGTCCTTTCTTCTCCTCCAACTTCTAAATCAAAAATATAAATTTAAATAACATTTAAAAATGTGCCAAAATGACACTCTTATTCTCTTTAAAATTCTCTTTTCGGATTATTCACTGTACTTTAATTGCCATTACTTTTGTTTGCTTTTCAAATTTTTGGTGGCAAATGAAGCTGGACACGAAAAAAAAAAAAAACCGAAATGCGAGAATGGAAGAGAGAGCGCGAGAGAGAGGACATGAAAAGTGCCGTTAGCTGTCGCGACCGGGGCGCGTCCGTATATTACAGTTGTAACTGTGTGCGTGTGTGCTGTAACTGTGTGTGCGCATGTGAGTGCGATTCTGAGTGATTTTTCGACTGCGCTGCCTGCGCAAAAAGCCGCTCAAAAACACAAAAACCCACGAAAAAAATCACTAAAAACTAGACTTTTCATGCAATTTACCAATTTTTAAGGCCAAACAATGATGAGAGCTTGAAATGAACAAACAATAAAACAAACAAACAAAAAGCGCTCAAATGAAAAGCGAAAAAAAACGGGACAAAAGAAATTGGCCCGGGGATAAGAAATATATTTCCCAGGGTTTAGCTTAGCTTTTCCGGACTAATTAAGCGTGGTATTTCTCTTTAGATTTACCTTTAAAAATGCACAAATTATTGAGTGGCAGTTTTTCGTTTTTTATTTTTTTTTACAATTTTTTGTTTAGCTCTTCCGCCTTTGTGTGAGTGAGACAGACGAAAAACGCGCCGGGGGTAATATTCGTGCGTGTGTGTGAGAAAGATAGAGAGTGACAGAGAGGGGTACAATTTAGTAATTTTGTTTAATAATTATTGTAAAAAAACGCGACACGAATTTGTTGTTTTTGTTTGCTGTGTTACTACTACTAATGACGCGACGGCTGCTCACACACACACACAGACACAAAATCTCACGCACGTTTATACTATGTATATGTATATGCAAGCAGAGGCAGACAAACAAACAAAATTTTGCCTGGGTCACGTTTCTTGGCTCTCTTGCAGCTTTTTATTGCCTTTTATTGCATTATCTTTGTTATCACACGGTCGCGGGGCGTGGCTAAAGGGGTCGAGCGGTTGGCGTTCAATTTACCTCGCAGCTTCCCTTTTTTTCGACTTTATTTAACTTGGTTTTTCGATCACACGCGGCGGCACTTTTTTTTTCTTGTAAGCGATTATTCCGATTTCATGCGCTTGGTGTTCCGCTGCGGTCGAAAGTTGTTTTTGTACTGAGGGAGGAGGTGTGGGCGACCATATGTTCGATATGTTCGTGGAAGAAGTTGTGAATATGGCGTTTTTTAGTTTCTCACTGCTGTTCACACTGGATGCCTTGCGCTCTCACTCAGTTCGCTCTTGTTTCTTTTCTCTTTGCGCTGCTGATATACTCTTAGCAGAGTTCGAGTTAACAGTAACCGTTGATACCTTTAGATTTTTGATTGCTATTTTTTAAACCAAAATTAAGGTCCTAGTAATTTTGTTTTATAACTTTATCTTACTTATTTTCTTTCTTTCACTTAGATTATTCATTTTAAATCATAAATTATAAAAATAAATTTAATACAAACACATAAGCGCTATTTAAAAGATATAAATAATTGTGTTCTTATTAAACTTAATTAATAAATTCATTTCTTTAACTAAGTTCGCTAAACAGTAGTAATAAATCTGACACTGATTATCTGGTAGAACAAGATCAAACACCTGTCGTATGTGCAATTTCTTAATCTTCTGACAGGATTCTGTTAAGTGGCGATAACACGCCATCTATAACTTTCTGAAATTTATAAAAGAGCATCAAAGAGAAAAAGAGAAACGAAATATAGCGACTAGAGTGAACATATCTTAATACCCTAACAATATACTGATAAGCTATAAAAATACTGAAAATTAAATTGCAAGAAATATATTTATATGCTTCCTTTTCTTCGCATTTTGAGCAGGCTATTGTCAATTCAGGATATACATTTATTTTGTTGGTTGTCTTTCAGGAGAACTTCATGAATCAACATTGTTGACTATAATTAAAATACTATTTTCAAATTTCTAATAGATATCGATTGACCGATATGTGTTGGCAGCAGGCACGATGTCGATTGGCTTTAATACAAAACAAAAACATAAGATTATAATTTGACTTGAATATTTATGTTGACTTCGATATTGAAAATTAAATGGAGCACGTGACGAGTGACTTAAGGGAGTTTATCACAGATCAAGTGATTCCCCATCACCGCTGCAATGTGAACATCAATCCAGACCACATTACCATGCTGGAGGGCACTAAGATCAAGAAGCAGCACTCCCGAAAGCGTCGTGCTCACAAATCTAGAACACTCAGTCGCAAGGAATATGCAGAGCTTGGATTAAATACACTTCCAACCAAACAAATGAAATACGAGGAGGCTCTGCCACTTCATAATCTCTGGAAAGGATATGTTCGCGAACATCTGGAATTAAAGGAAGGTTCCGAAGTGCCCGAAGTCCATGATCGTCATTACGATGAATTTAGCCGGCAGTTGGTTAAACTAGATTTACATGGTGCTAAGTTGAAAGTTATTGAATCTAAGTGCCGCACCCTAGAGAATTTAGAAGGAATCTGCGTCATGGACACTAAGAATGTGCTGAAAATTCTGAGCAAAGATAATCGATTGAGGACAATACCCAAGAGCCAATGTGTCTTTGGTATGAAGGTGGGCAATATGGAGTTTACCATTTTCGGCCAACACCTAAATATTCGACCTGCGGAGCGAAGCGTTAAGAAAATCAAGAGCTGTGTGCAGCCCTTTATGTAGGTGCTGATTTGCTCTAGAGTTAGTTTTATAATAAAAAAAAAAAACTGAAAATCTTTTGGAAAGAAAATTTGTGGTTTAAAGTAATAATATAGATTTCTGGGTTCTAAATGATACAGATGAGATGTATTGTGATTTCTTGTAAAATATCCTTTTCAAAATATTCGCATTTCGGCTTAAATTGTCCGTAAGATTAGTTTTTCTTGTTTAATACATATATAAAACCGTACATTTAATGTTTTTGGGGAATATCGCGCCGCGTTTCGTTTGTTTTTAGTTTCTAGACATTTCGTTTAGTTCTGGGAGATTCCCAGCTTTTTTCCATTGCCCAGTTGGAAGGACATATTTATGCGGCCGTCTTGGTCATGGTGATGACGGCGGATGGAACCAGTCCGAGCACCTCCAGGGGCTTCTCGTAATCGTCCTCGGCGAACAATTTGCGCGGAAAGGTGGTCATCAGGGAGAAGGGCGAATCGATGCCGGTTTTCATCTGGATAAACACACGTACGGCTGATAGCTGTTCCTTTACGTTGAAGGTCTCCTGAAGAGTGGAGCCGTCCTGCAGGCGCACCTGGATGCGTGTTTCTGTGTAGTCTCGCGGCGGAGACTTCACACCTGCCGGTGGCGACGACACTGTGGTGGAACTCACAGAGGGAGCTGGTTCTGGATTTCCCAGTTCTTTTTGTTCTCTGAGGGTAAAGGTGAGGAAATATACTGATAAAGCTTTTGGATGATTCTTACCTAGCCTTGCGTGCTGCTTTGTCTGCCTCGATTTGAGCCCTTACTCGATCCCGGGCTGCCTTCTCCTCATCTTTTTCGCGCTTACGCTGCTCCACGATCTTCTTCATCTCAAGTTCCTCCATGCGCCGCTTGGCCTCGGTCATGTCCTTTCCAGATTTGATACGATTCTTTTCCCGCTGCAGAGCTTCAGTTTTTTCACGTTCCTCGCGTTCGATGCGCTTCTGCTTGAGCTTCTCCTCGATGAGTGCCAACTGTGCCTTTTTCTCCTCCTCGGTTAAGGCTTTTTTTTCCTCCGTTGACTCGGAGAAGTTGCTGTGTCCGGTTTTGGCTGCATGGTACTCCACTTCGGTGTGATCCTTTAAAATCTTTCCGCAATCGTCGCATTTTAGGGACTTGGCAACAGGGGAATCCGCAGAGGTTTTCACCGGCACCGCTTGTGCTACTAGAAGCTGCCCCAGCGGAAGAGTTATCTGAAGTCGTGGCTGAGACCCCCGGAACCCGGGGGGATCCCCGGCATTTGACTTGATGGTATCGGATCGTCCACGTGGGCCAGTAACCATTCCATAGCTGGTTCTACACCCTTATTACTGGTCACCTGCAGAGCATATTCCCTGCGGAAAATTCCAACAAAAACAAAACTCAATTTTTGCCGGTGGAAAATCGTCTATGCCTTGACACTTACACACGCTCCCGGGGAAATCCCCATATCCATAAGGGTCTGTACTTCACTCATGACGTTTTTAAAATGATTTTCAAAATTTTTGGTATAGTTTTCGTGTTTATTCGTGTTGTATTTTATAAAAAGAAATTTTACAATGACACCACACAAAAACAAATGTAGGCGATAGTGAAATATCGATTACTATATGATATCTATCGGTACATGAAATAGTTTTAACAGCTACAATTAATGAAGACATAAAATCGGCTAGTTACACTACGGCTTAAACATTAAGCAATAATGATACCTTTAAAGCCAGTTTTATTAGCAATTAAAAAATGTTTGTTAATATTATCGGTAAAACTACCAATCGAATTAGCTCGAAAATAGCTAGAGCACCTGGTCTGTTAGATTTTCCGACTATCGATAGTTCTTGCAACAGCTCCGATTTGGCGTCTAGTCAACAAATTGCAAGAATTTCGTCCCCTAATTAAGAAGAGTTTTTTTTATAATCCAAACAAAACCATGTCGCCAAAAGCAAAAAAATAGTGGTCAAGATCCCACGGCACCCGTATTTCAGCGTGCAAAGTGAGCGTAGCGTGGGCGCGGTAAGAGGTACCAGGTGCGAAAATGTCGCGTGAATTTGGAGCGTATAAAGTCTGCAACCACTCCGATTCAACGTCCATTTCCATTAAAACCAAAACCAAAAAGATGTATTGTACGTGTGGCCCGTCTTCCGGACGTAGAGCGCAGTGAGATCTCCGTAACTCCGGCCAGTTCCATCATAAATTCTGACATTGACGAGGGTAAGAGAAAGTGTCCTGCGAAGTTGCCAGATAAACTCCTTAAAAACCACGTTAAACCATCTTAGTAATATGATGATTTCCTTGCAGGTAACTCCAGTAGGAACTAAGCGGGTCCCCTTACTATCACTTATATCTTGTTATAAGATATCTCGATTGACTAATAGTTTACTATAAGACAATCGCCATTCGAAAAAAATTCTCCGTTTAAGGAAGAAAGTCATTCATTTTTTATAATGTATAATGTATTAAATAAAAAAATATTACCTGTATGGCGATTCCCTGGATATATATGATTGAGTCTACAACTTTATTTTGAGGGAACTATCGCCATAAAATATATTTGTGTACTGAACGCTGATAATCCTTTACAACAACAAACTATCAAAGCATTATTGTATTTTTTCAATTTTTATAAAAAAAAATAATATTTAAAAGGGTACTTCCATTTTACGTTATTCAAAAAAGCTAATACTTTTTTTACTACTTTTATTAGTGGTTTAAAAAACTAGTATGGTTCATATGAAAAAAAAGTCAACCAAATCAATCAATGAAAAGTTGTTATAATATTATATAGGCTTTTATAATTTATAAATTGCCTTATTATGACTTTATTCTATTTGGCAATTATGTCTTTATTTCCTGATGAGATACTAAAGAGACTTCAAATACTTTGCCTAATATTTATTTACATTTCCTAATGACACTTACCGAAAAAATAAAAACCATTTCTTCATTAGTAATATTTTAGGAACTTTTTTCTATTTTAGATTATTTTTAAAAATTTCAGTAAAATTAAAACATAAAATATTTTAAAATTTGTATTTAAAATACAGCGGGCTTGTGATTATAATCCCTAGTAAGATATCGAATACTTGTTTTAACCATTTTAAAAAAATTAAGATAATGAGCAAATAGATATTTTAAAAATGAAAGAGAAATCAAACTTTTAAATATAAAAAGAATATGCTTTGGATAATTAAAAAAATATTTTATGATTACTTATCGATATTGGATATGTCGATACCAGGGAGTCAACTAATCGGCAGAAAAATATTTCTGGAATAACAAAAGCAGCAAGAATTACCCGTATCCGAATCAAGTCGATAATTCGATCCAAAACATGAACTGGCACACGGGCAACATTGCGGAGGCCGTGGCAGAATCAAAGGCCAGGACGCCATCTTTGTGGTCTTCATTGAGGTAGTAACCCCTTTGTATTGCTATTTTCACCAAATCATTCTGACGAATTTCACCTGATTTCAGGACTGGATGAGATGACCCGAAAGCTGGAACGATTCGTGGATGATAGCCAGTGCGATCTCGTTTTGAAACTAACGATTTGTCGCCATCAAAGTCGGAAATAGTTCAGCCTACGGACAGTTTATGTCGCTATGTTAGTATCTCAACGGATAGTAATTAATCAAGATCTTTAAAGACTTATATTTGATTTTGTAGACAGAGTAGTGCCCGTACCGTCACTCTTTTTATTGGCAAGTCGGGCACACCTCTGGAAATAACCACTGGGATTACGGAGAGCGTGGAAGAACTGACCGATAAAATCGATAAGGTCCTGATCCTGTCGGGAAAGCGAACGGAGACCGAGGCAGCCGCCAGCTACCTCCCTCGAGTTCGGATGTATTGGAGCCCAATCCTGTTAGAAGCTTTTGCGGGAGCCGATGAATCAACTAGTTTGGGAGCAGGAGAAAATCAATCAGCTCAAACAGGTAGTCAAAGGTCAATTCTGGAAATTTGAGGCAAATGGAAATAACTAAAACACAAATACCTTAACTTAAATTCCCATTGAAATAAGGTTTTTAGAACTATGTTCCAAATTTTTCAGTTCCAGACAAATTTGAAGCTCCTGAAACTACATCAGTTTCCAACTCCCCAATTGAAGAAATGGAGGACAAAAGAGACAAACCCTCCAAATTCGCCTGCAGGGCTAGTTTTCCTCAATTCCCACTTTGCCCTTATCAAGCCGTCCAACTGGACGAAAAATCCAGTACTGACACAGAGAGAGCAGCTGTTTCCCCAGGCGCTTGGCAGCCGAGAGAGAGCAGGAGCCAGTAAGAGTGGAGTCATCAGCATCAACATCCGGAGCAGCTGCTGCCCAAATTACGCCACCACTAATCTTATCTCAACTGTTCGCTCTAACACCTGCTATTCCAGTTTCAACACAGCGTTCAACAGGAGATCAAGGGAATAACGGAATCAGAAGAAAGGTTGAGCGGGTCGGAGCCTTCCTAAGAAGAAAAGCAAGGAACAAGTGGAGGAGGAGAAACGCCGCGAAAAGAAAGCTGAGCTAAGACTTGACGCAAAGGAGGGAAAGAAGCACAGACTCAGGCTAAGAAACAGGAGCAGGAGCTCAAATATGCAGGTAATGAACTACTTCGAATCATCCATATAATCACTTAGAATAACAAACTTAATCATGTTTACAATTTTAGGAGCAAATGCGTCGCGAACGTCAGGAGGAGCAACAGAACAAGGGAGCAGTTCGTGCCCAGATCGTCGCGATCCGAGCGGAGCAGAGCGCACGTTTTAATTAAGCCGATGTAAACGGCACCAACAGCTCTGTGGCTGCAACCCGGTGTCTCGACAGCCATAACACCAGATTCCTCGGTTAGTTCTGTGGACGAGACCAGGCTACTGAGCTCCCGTTTGCTAGTGGAGATACAACGCACCAAATCCTTGCCGGTGAAGTGCTGGCAACCGTGCGTGTCTATGTTCGAAATGAGCTACTAGCTGAGAGCGATGTACGAGATTTCACCTGGCTAGTTATCCTCGTAAGGAGTTTCCAAACGGAAGATGAGATTCAAGACCCTGAGTGAGCTAAATCTGGTGCTTAATGCAGTGGTCGCTGGTACCAACCAAGGAGCAAAGTGAATCGTGTGCGGTTCCGCAGTGGGGGATCTTTGGTAGTCCTCCATGCTAGCCCTCACGGTCATTTGGGCTATGTCACACCGGCTGCCAAGGCTTTCGACTATATCCACAAAATGGGACTGCGTCCGCTCGCAGCAGTGTGAACGAAATGATAGTGCTAACGTTCGGTGGCCAGGACGACAGGTTGAAATGGCTAACCCAACCGATTCGTTAACTGTTTCTTTATATAGACTATCAATTTTCAATGCCTTGATTTTATAGTGCCGTTCGTCGCAACATGGTCAGTCTTTTACCGTCCAACGCCAGCTCTAGCTACGATGAGCCTTCTACATCCCAAAGAACTACGGAGACTTCCGAGAATGGAGCTACCGAAACGGAGACCCGCTCCACCAACCCAACACGGGACCAGGAAGCCTTACTCCACCGGCTCACCAAACACCAACCAGGCTTCCAACCCCCGGTCTCGCAGCAGGCATTCCAACAGCGACTCCGTGGCGTATCAGCCGCTGAAATGCCTGGGGATACAAACATTCGGCGACTTCATAGTACGAAAAACGACGACAAGGATAAGGACAAGGCCACCTACAATGGCAATTCTACACAGCAGCAATAAAGCACAATTTTTCCTATCCAACCAATCTGTTTGAAGCAGTCACTAGAGGTTCCACAATCCCTTTTCTAATAATCTGTTATGCCTTTAAATTTAATTATATCAATTCAATATTTTCCAATATCAATTCGATATGTTTCAGTAACAAATGTTGACCTTAAAAAGCTATTAAGAGATACAGGAATGGATCAGATAGCTTAGATCACTCTAAAAGCCAGATTTAATTTAAATTGTAACAAAAATCTCAAGTCTCAAAAGGCAATCTTTTACAGGAATTGCTGCTAAAAATTATATAAAAGAAGATTTAAATAATTACAGTATATGCTTCAAAAATACATATTAATTATTGTCTTTTAAACTCGAGTATATCCATGTCCTACAATGAAAGGGATAAGATTTCATCCCAACAAAGTAATGAAAGCTTAAAAACTAATAAATTAGTGAAACTTGATGATTTTGCTTTAGATTGAAAATATCCTTGTATTATTTTCAAATTAATACCATCTTAGGTGGGTGAAGTAATCAATTATAAGTGGCTTTCAAATGGCTGAATATATATAGGTTCATGATACCATTCGCAAGTAATAATAATATAAATACTGACCTCTTTTGTTTATATATTTACTAGGTTTTTGGCTTATTTAAAGCATTTGTTATTTGCTTATGATTTTTTAACTTAAGTCTTAAACATTAAATCAATGGAAGGAGTTAATAACAGATAATGGAGTTAACAGTAAGGTCCCTCCTGAGCGCGCACTCATCAAACACTGGCCCAACTTGAGTTACAAAAATGTCCTCTTTACACAGAATGAACCACATGAGGACACTGTGGTTTGTAGACTGATTAACTAATGGTACTTCCCGAAATTACTTTTCCTTTGCTGCGA